CCACTCGAACACAAGCCCCCATTTTCCCTTACCTTCCTACACGAGCACATAATACACGTGCTACATTACCCCTACCTCTTATATTCGAACACATTATCTCACTGGTTAATTCATACCAATTGACGATATTTGTATAATTTGACTCTTCGGTCGCCACTATCACGCTGTATTCTACTCATCTTGTATTGTGTCTGAAGTTAGTTGCAGATTATATGCATTTCAAACGAGTGAGCGAGACGACCGTAGCTAAGACATTAACTTTGATATCTTTCATTTCGCGCGCAATCTTTACCCAACTTCAGAGTACGTGGCGAGAGATACATCATCCATTTTAATAAAATTGTTTATGAATTGTTGACGTCATTTTTCTGTTATCCGAGTTAAAAGTTGGTAGGTTGAAATATTTATTAGTGATATAAACAATTTTGGGCAGATTTTACATACACCCTGTATGTTTGAAACAGGCTGAGGTTAATTGAGCTTAATATAATTGCTGTAAACGAATTTAAAAAGTAAATTCTTGCCTCGCGCTGAACAATTGCCTCGATAGTTCTCTGTTTAGCAACACATAATGCCCTTTATGATAAAGGGCTCTCTGTTAGTGGACCAGCATTTATAAACCCCACAATAATTGATGATTCTTTAGATTATTGTGTTTTGGGTCTTATTTGGTTTCTGCTACTTTTGCTATTTAAGTACTTAAGCAATTGCTTCTGAGTAGATTTGCGGAATGTATGATGTACTAATACTGTTTTCTTATAGAGATCATCAATTAATTACAAGATTATGTAATTTTTACGCAATTTTAGAAATGAGAAGTTTAATTTATTATTTTAGAAGTTTGAAGTATTAAATGAGACATTAAGATTGTATTGTGTTATTTTGTATGGCGTTTTATGAAAATAAAATTTTGAAAAATCAAAAAAAAAATATGATTGATTGAAGTTAATAAATATTACATTTACGGAGACTGTTGGGAAATTTATTATTTGCGTAAATATTACAAAGTTGTGTCTTAAAATTGCATTCCATATGTTTTCAAGTTTTAATACCTACTTTACTTTTTTTAATGGTTTTTTAAAAGTGATTTAAAAATATTATTCATATATTTCTATTTACTTTGTCCATTACCGTAAATATGTTGATTTTAATTCAAGTCAAAGCATGTTTTCTTTGTGAAACTTAAGACACAATTCCCTTTGATGTCCAGTTTGAAAGTATAAAATATTTTTATAAGATGCTTAGCTTTCCTTTACTTATAAATATTCTATTTACATTGAATACCATTTTAAATGATAAATATATGTATTCAAAAGCTTATGTGAGTTTTATTTTTATATTAATTTGGCCTTAACACTCCAGGAATCTAGAACATTATTCTTGCCCAGAACCTTTGCCGATGGTGTCATGACGCCTAGAATAGACTTTTCGGAGTTCTTTATATTATTTTTTAATCCATAGACAACAACTTACATAACTGTCACTAACCGTTAATTCACACTGCAGGTTGTTATTCCCTTTTTAACTCTTGTATTTATATCATAAATGTTTAGATGGATGGATGGATGGATGTTTGAAGTTATCTCCGGAACGGCAAAACGGATCTTGATGAAATTTGGCACAGATGTAGAAAATAGTCTAGAAGAACACATCAGCTACCCTTTAAGTTTTTTTAACTACGCACGGACGGAGTCGCTTGCTATAGCTAGTGTATTTCAAAAATAAAAAGGATGAATGTTTTTGTATATCATTTATTGTAATTATGTCCGAATCTAGAATAACAATGAAGTTACCATGACAAATATTGTTAAACATCGGGGACAAAGGGGGTGAATTTTTAAAACAATTGTGAACTTTAATTCTACACGCCATATTTTAATATCACGTATTACAAGCGATTACACGTACAACTATTAAAATATAATTAATATATTTACTAATTAATATTTTCGAGGGAAGAAATAATTGATTCTTAAACTGTGAGAAACAAATATGTATTTAACAAAAATGCTTCATTTTCTAGACATTTTTTTTTTATTGAGACAGTAAAATGCACGTACAAAGAGTCAAGTAAATGTATTTACCAATATGTACACCGTGTACTGTTCAAAAATAAAGAACTATTGAATATTAAAGTAATATTTTATATGATTTAAAATACAGGCGGAATAAAATGTTCTTTTCTTAATTCAGAAGTCGATGAGATTGTCGCGTTGCTGACTTTGTTTCCATTAATATAAGTTCTACTGATTATAAGATTTATACAATGTGATAAAAAACCTCTGGAATCAAGAAAGAATCATCATAAAGCACCTTAGATATGATTGTTAAATTATAAAAATCTCATCAACTTCTGAGGTATAAACTTCCTTGCTTATGTCGTTACATTACAGTGTTATATTCCTAACGTCGAGAGTCATAGAGAATACAAGATTTCTTTTCTATTAATACGTTAAAATTTATGAACAACTTAATATTAAATTAATTAGTTTAAAAACTAACAATTTTGTCAATATTACATTTAAACTGCATGTTACATAAATAACATAGCTTTTATTTTGTGTGCTGTCAAAATTTTGAATACATAGAGCACATAATATAAAATCACAAAAAGCATTTTTACGATCGGAAAATGTATTAAAATATGAATGTACCTAATTGTATTAACGACGAGAGATTATCGACGAGTACATATTGAACACAGAGGAAATTAAACTAAGCGGAATCGCTTAACAGTAAATACATTACACAGATGGCTACGTCATATAACAATCGTAGCCCCTTCACAAGTTCAATGATTTACCCTGCACGAAGAAATTTTGATTCTATTATACGAACTACATTAAAAATCTTAATCGTTTGGAGTTCACAAATTTAAAGCAGTTGTGTGCTATATGGCGAACTACGTAACTATTTGAGCCGCGGGCGGGCGGCGGACAACCGGCCAATAGTTAAATATGACAATTAAACCACAGCCTCGGCGCAGGCCTACAATCTATACATTCGATCGTTGACACAATGGTCCAATTTACTAAGTAAATAATTATTTGATAGTACAAGACGAGAATTCACGATATTGCGACATCAATTACAAAGCGGTTAAAAGCTTCTACCGTACTCAAGTGATTTTGTAATTACATTAATTGTATAATGAAAATTTCATTTATTCTTCATTACGTGGCTCCCTTAGCGGTCACTTAACGATTCCGAGTACGGTAGTTATAATAGAATTAAGCCAGAACAATTCGTACACTACAAATGCCCACAGATAACTTTACAAGACCAAACTAAGTTAATCCTTTGAACGCATGAAGCTCATTGTGTTACCACTTAATAAATGACATCGACTACCAAAAATTCATTCAAAGATTGACAAAAAATTAAAGAATAAAGAAAGCTCTTATCATTTTCCATTTTTAGTTACGATAATTTCAAACATATTTTTAAAGCGAGATAGTAAGCAAAAAGGAAAAATACGTCGCATAATGCATTCTTTTTTACAGAATAAAAACGTAACCGACACTAACGTAAACCAACTTTGTCATTTAAAGTCAATTTAAAAAAAAGGGCAGTTAGAATGCAACAAATTTAGCGTCTTTTAGATAGCAATTACAATGTGATAATACAAACCAAATATATGTGTTGATAGCAAATCCTTTTAGAATAGTGTGAAGAGCAGTGCGGAAAACAGAAAATTGTTCAGATTTGAAAACGAATTAATGGGACAGATTTAAAAAAAATATTGTTATAGAATTTAGGTATCGTGGTGCAATCTAGGTCCTAAAATTTTATCATCAAAGTTCATAATTTTATTAATTTTCTTCCGGCTCATTAAATAACATAATTTCATTAAACATATTTGAACAACACTTCCTACTAAACTGAATTCAAAAGAAATAAAGAAGACCAGAACAATGGAAGAACTTGTGACAATCATTTGAAATAATTAATTTCAATATTAGTTTAGTTTTACAGCTCGTACATATACTAATACATTTCCGTAAAAAACAAACAAAATATTTGGTGTATCAAAATGAATAAATATAAACAATAAATAGATCTAACTAGAACCGGCAGTGGACAACATTTAAAAACTGATTTTTGCATATGCTCTATTTTGATATCGCCCTATTAATATTATTACTACACGTGCATCATAACATGAAATACTACGCACTTGCACTACGTTACTCATTTTCGTTACTACTGCAAACTACGTCATGAAGTCAGCTCTCATGTTATATTGCACGAGTAGTTAACTCTGTTCTTTATGTTAATGTCAGAAACAAATAAATCAAATAACCAATATAAGAAACATTTCTCAAAGTACATTTCAATGTATAGCTCTTAATCTAATATATGCATGCGTTTCCCTTGTTTAAGTTCTTAATTACTTTAAAAATAACTTAATAAAAATTACGCTTACGCCTATTTAAGGTTTGGGGACTCGTATGTGTTAAAATCGAGAGAATATAGTTTCTTTTGAAATTACCACAAAACGAAAGAAAAATAATCATATTTAATGAAACAGAAATATATCATTATTCTTATATAAAAAATTAAAACATAATAAATATAATATAAGCTCATGATGACACGTTACATAGGGTAGTCAGATGTATAAACCAAATTCATTTTACCATAGCTATTTAACAAAACCGTTATCCTAGCGATTGACGGAACACGACAATAAAGCGATACAATTTTTAATAATAACACGTTGCCTGCCATTACTATTTTTTTGTTGAACCGAGGCGAGTTAAAGCACTGCAAGTGTTAACTCGCGTCTCCTTTTGGTAGTAAAGATGGCCACCACATATTCTCGCGTCGCATTCCCGCGCTTTCCATTCAACTAGTAAAACGAATGAATCATCACAGCCATAAGGATTGATTTTCATTCAATAACTTTAAAATAGCCAAGTAAGAGACAACTTCACATTAGTCAT